TATATATATATATAATACTTAACAAATTTATTTGTTAGAGGAGAAGCTGATATTATTGACAGCGTGAATATAATGGCTCTTCTTAATATCTCTGCTATCTATTAAATGATGGCAAATTCTAATGATTGCTTATGAAATTTTTTGTTCAATAACTCGCTGTTACATTATAATGCTAATATACCAATGCGCAATAGTCTGCCCTTATTATAATGCATTTTTACTTTTAAGCATTTTTAAATATTTTGAAGATATATTTTAGCATTTAGTTATACATATTTCCTCATTCTTTTCAAACTTGAGCATATTATCACACGAATATATGTATATTTGAGTATGGGATCTTACAACTAAACGATTTCGTATCACCACAGTTGAAAGCGTCAACTCGTTCATACGGTGCTACAAAGTCGCTTATCTGTAGGAGCTCTTAACGTTCTGATTGTCTCTTTTTCAAGGTTTTTGTATCAAATGTTATTCATAAATCAATTGTAGCTCTACTGTTTATCTATAGTTTATATTATACGTATTACAAAAAAGTTATATATACTTGTGTGTATATATGTGTGCGTGCGTGCGTGCGTGCGTGCGTGCGAGCGTGCGCGCGTGTGTGTGTATGCACACATTCTGCAATAGTTCACTTTTTTGTTAATTTTGTAACCCAATTTTTTTTTTAAAAACCAATTTTTTAAATCTATTTTTACGGATGGCCACATTATCATCTCTATTTCTTTCAAAATTATTACGCAGTGATGCTACTTTTTTAGAAACAGTGCCCAAAGGAATAAATGTTTCGTAATTTTGACTTTAGAATCTATTGAATAATCTTTGACGGATGTAATCGTCAAGTGTTAAATTTAAATATTGATATTATTGTTAATCAAATTATTGTATAAAGTATAAATGAGGTGCCATAAACTACCTTCTTCTCTACTTTATTATGCATTTTAGTCGCAGAGAGTGAGATGGAGAAATTATAGTTTTGATAGAATTTTCTTGCATGTAAAAACATTCGATCTAATATCGTTACATCAAAAATAGAATCGTCAGTATGTTTCACTGACATTACTAACGCGCTGATAATAAAAAATCATGTACAGGGTGATCCATTAGAATTCGGACAATAATAAATTTGAAATTTCTGCCATATTAGAATTCACCTGTAGCTGCTACTTTGCATTGAAGTAAGCAGCGAACGCGTGAATGAAACATTTCTAATTTCAAAATAATTAGATCGATTATGAATATCATGGAATATAAGCGAAGGGCAGCAATCATTGAAAGTTTGGGCGCTAGAAAGACGCCAAGAAAAATAATGTTTTTCGAATGTCCAAAATCAATTATGTCTATGATGTTCCCAAGAGATGTGCGGCTTTGGAGGAATTCAAGGAAGGTTTCCCGACAAGAAAGAAACGCGAGGGAAAAAACAACGAGGTCTCTAGAATTCTTCTAGAATTCCAAAGAGCCCAATAGCTCACTTTGGAAGATCCAAGGACTTTGATTAAGAAATTGGCCGCCGTTTTGAAAGAGAGTTATTCGAACGTCGGATTGTTGAAAAAAATTTGAAGTATATTTAAGAATGTACGACGTATACCTCAAATCGTCTTCAACAATCCAACGGACGTTTGAATAGTTCTCTTTCAAAACGGCCGCTAATTTTCTAGTCAAAGTCTTTGGATCTTCCAAAGTGAGCTCTTGGGCTCTTTTGATGAATTTTAGAGTCCTTGTTGTTTTTTCCCTCGCGTGTTTCTTCCTTGCCGAAGAACCTTCCTTGGATTCCTCTAAAGCCGCACACCTTTTGGCAACATCACAAACCGTTGATTTTGGATATCTGAAAAACATTATTTCTTTTGGCATCCTTCCAGCGCCCAAATTTTCAGTGATCGCTGTCCTTCGCTTATACTCCATGATATTTATAATCGACTTGACTTTGAAGTTAGAAATGTTTCATGTACGCGTCTGCTTACTTCAATGCAAAGTAGCAGCTACAGGTAAATTCTAATATGGCGCAAATTTCAAATTTAATTTTGTTCGGATTCTAATGACACCCTGTACATTAATAAATGTTTCAGTTATACTATTGCATCAAATGTATTATGAGAAGTAGACGACCAATGGTAGATTTTTAATGTATTATGAGAAGTAGATACCAGTGATGGATTCTTTAGTACTTTATAGCATAACATAGATAAAATTAGATGCAGTTTTATATAGAGAGCTGCATTATTTCTATTAGTAGATTTTTATATTTACATATGTCTTAAATAAGTACATATATGTTGTATTGAAAAGAGTAAACACCACTTTAACAAAGTTAATCTCAAGATCACTTCGAAATAAATAATATTTTGAATTCCATGAAGTTGTCTCGTCTCCTTTATTATAATAATCTGCAAACAATCACAAACTTATTAATTTTCATAAAATATAATACTGCAACATATTATATTTTTGTTTCGCCACAATCGAGTGAAATAATTTTTGCTCGATTGTGGCGAAAGATAAATAATATGTTGCAATATAATATTTTACGAGATATCGAAATAAAGAAGATTATCTACTGGAAGTTTGCGGAAAACTACTGTATACATCGTAAACTAGCCAGGTTTCTTTTGGATATACCTATAATGCATTGTGTTGCAGCTTCGAGGAGGGAAAATCGGACAAGGAGATTCTGGACAACTTATTACAATCGACTCGTTACGACAAGCGGCTTCTGCCGCCGGTCCAAGGTACAAAGAGGCTCCCATTCTACTGCCAAAGTCAAGGCAACTAAACTTTCACCTTTATATCCAAATGACCCTCGATCATCCAGAGCACCTCAAAAATCACCGGCAATCAAGAGCACCGCTACCACTTCACAGCATACTACCACAGCTCACTGCTCACTCCTCGTCGTAAGAGTACTTTTTGTAAATCGATGTATAAAAAATGACATGAGGAAAGTGCACAAACAAATAGAAAAAAAAAGATAGGATGCGTGATAAATTGTAAAAAGGCAAGGCACAACGAATAATTCAACCATCCTTCTATTTAAATTGTGGTTAAATTCTCCCATGCTCGTTTCGAAGAAAAAAACATTTCTATTTAGGTATACTGATCTTATAATATCTTTTTATCAATTTTAAAAAGATTCGAACTTAAAGTAAACTAGTTCAAAATATATTTTACTCTATATTAATGCACTTATACGATTAAAATATAATTCGAAGTACATAAAATAATATTTATAATAAAGTCGGAATATTATTAATCCAATGACAATGATGGGTATATCATAGGCATGAACTGTAACAACATTTGTACATATATGCAAATGTGATCCGTATATTAGAGTCCGATCGAAATCACAATTTCCTTCGGTCGAAACCAACAACAAATATGCGGTTGTCATTTCAATTTTGGCCGAAAACGGAACCGAAACTTAGATAAGTCTTACTGAGAGAGAGAGAGAGAGAGAGAGAGAGAGAGAGAGAGAGAGAGAGAGAGAGAGAGAGAAGCTAACGAAGTCACATTTTTTTCGACCAGAGTCGAAATCGAAAATTTATGTACTCTTTAAAAAACAAGATTTTATTAAAATATTTAACTATAATAATATTGCATCCTCAACTTTTAAGAAATCAAGTCACAGTTATTATTAAGATTACACAGTAAAGTTTATACTCAAATTGTCTTAAGTTTATTGTTGGTCAACGAATAATTAAAATTGAACAGTTGTTTTTTTAACGCTCATTGACGCATTGCAACTTGTACAGTTTCGGTTTAACCACCGAAATTTTCTCTTAATTCTGGTCGAAATCAAACCAAAATCCTGATTTTTTACCGAAACTAACCGAAATCGAAACCGAAATTTCGGTCGGATTCTACCGTACTTATACAGAGTGTATCCAATCATCCGCAATCGGGACACACTATTGCATCAGATTTAGTGTTTTATCCCGACTGTATCGATCCTACCCGGGAAAAAATGATTCACGCATGATTGTACACGATTATACATGCATATGCAAAATCATGCATTAAATAATATATAATTTAGAATTCTAATGTATGATCATTAGGACCCGGATATTCGGGCTCGATTTCGAGCTGCGCGAGTGATTCGGCTGCTTGCTGAAGTGAGATTGCTGCAATATTTTTTAGGGAGACACGATTGATTGCATCCGATCTATCCGAATACGATATATATGTGGGCTATATATTGGATTGGTGCGCGGCATATCTACTATCCGTGTAAAAAAGTACTACTGCGCAATAGTGAGGTACTATTACACTACAGCAGTAATATAATGCGTAATAGTGTAATTTTTTAAAAGAGTAAGGGTGTATTCTGCACTGGATTTAGCTTATTTTTTTTTAATGTTGGCAGTCTTGTAACTAAAAAGAAAAGTGTTCTGAACTCGTTACATTATTATAACCTACAAATTGTTTAATTATTGTTTGTATACGTAAGACAAGTATTGTTAGTAAAAATAAAGAAAAAGATAGCAAACATATAGTACATATAAATTTGTTCTCAGTATTTTCCGACATTTATTTTTTCCTTCAAAAAAAGTTTTATATTTTTATCGTTACTTTTACTTAAGTTACTGCCAGGAAAAAATGTTTTATATATAATTATACAAAATTATATAAAAATATATAATTTTACATAATTGTATATAAATGGACATATTTTATATATAATTATATTGTATAATTATGCATATTTATACAGATATTATATAGGATGTCCCATTTTAAATAATGTATTAAAATTTTTCGAAAACTATCGATAGATATGGAAAAATGTTTCAAAGAACAGTATGGTTCGGAGGAGGACATAAAAAGATACCATTGATTTACTTGGATGACGTCGCCTAGGTCAGATTAAGATCACATCAATTTTTTTCTAATCGAACACTTTATTTTTAGTGGCAGAATCTAACAGTTGGTGTTAAGAGCTTTTATTTTTTATTACGTATTTTTCGAGTTACAACTCTTGTAGAAAAGTACTACTGAGCACTAAAAGTATTTTGAGGCACTACTGTAATATAGCACTACTGTACACTCTACAGTACTACTACACTACTGTAGTAGTGCAGAAGTGTTCAGTAGTGTTGAGTAGTGCTAAAATCTTCTACCCGCATTTTGGTAATAAAAAGGAAACGAATATGCATCACAGAAACTAACTATTAATAACTCTATTTAAAAAAAAGTGCTTTCGGAGACTCTATGAGAACACTCTGATCGAGCTAAGAATAAGTGACGGATTTCATTTACATATGCCTCTTTAGAGGGATCCGCATCATTTTCTCTTTACAAAAGACGAGTCTATCTCACGGCGATACTGCGTACTATGACGCATGCAGATATGTACGCTATAGACGCCGCTAAGTAAGCGGTGTAATGAGCAGTACCGCCACAAGATGGACTCGTTTCCATAAAGATAAAATGACGCAAATCCCTATAAAGAGGCATATATAAATAAAATCCATCAATTATTCTCAGCTCAATCAGAGTGTGCTGGTAGAATCTCTGAAAGCGCTTTTTTTTCTACATTTTGTATCTTGTTGAAACGCGAATATATAGAAGATCTTAGCACTACTCAGCATTACTGAACACTTCTGTACTACTACAGTAGTGTAGTAGTACAGTAGTGCTGTAGTACAGTAATGCCTCAAATAACTCTTAGTGCTCAGTAGCACTTCTTTTACAAAAGAAGACTTGAAAATTACAGTACCGCCGGCATTAGCATTACGCAGTGTTCAACCGACAGTTAAAACTCCTTGAATGTTGTTCGGGATCATGTCCTGGATAACATTTGTCAAGATCAAAGTCATTGGAGAATAAAAGGAGTAATCTCCTTCATTTTTGCACTAAAAATTCATTTTTACATAAAAATAAAAGTAAGAGGTACAACCTCCATTAGCTTTGATCTTGATAAATCATATCCAGGTCATGATCTTGAACAGCATTCAAAAGATTTTAGCCATCAGTCGGATACCTTGGGCATGCTAATGCCGGCGGTATTGTAACATTCATAACTTAAAAAGTAGTTAATAAAAAAATATTTGTTTATAATGTTTTGAAAAACTATTACTAGCTATTAAATTCTGTTATCAAAAATAGAGTATTCCATTAAAAAGAATTGACCTGACAACGCCATGCTAGATCAAATCAATGATACCTTCTTATATCACCTTCCGAATTATACAACATTTGTTTAAAACATCCGGTAGATATTTTTGTGGTAGATACTATCTACTATAGTTTTCAAGAAATCTTAATGCATTATTCAAAATGGGTCATCTTGTATATAAAATTATTATATATATAATTATGTATAAAATTATATAAAATTGTATATAATTATATATAATTATATATAAAACATTTTTTCCCGGGGTGGTACTTATAAAAACTGACTTGAGTATCAGTGCTCTATTTCTATTTATTTATATTTATCTATATATCATAGATTTAGAAAAAAGAAAATAAAACAAATTTGTGTGTGTGTGTGTGTGTGTGTGTGTGTGTGTGCGCGCGCGTGTGCGTGTGCGTATGGGCGCGCGCGCGTGTGTGTGTGTGTGTGTGTGTCAGCTACAAACTATTGACTTTTATAGTTATGAGTTATGACGGTCAACAAGTTTAAAATACTTATTGATTTAATTACGGGTTAAGGGACTGTCAACATTCAGGAAAAAATAAGTTAAACTAACCTGATTCAAAATACGTCTTAAATGTAAACAAAGCGCGGAGAGATTTTTTTGGATTAATTCAAAATCACGGAAGAATCCTTTTCTTCGAAATGCCTAAATCTTTATAGAAAAACTTAGTCTCAATATCAATTAAATTGACAAAAATATGTATATGCTTTTACAAAGCTGGATCGACTTTGTTGCAAGCGTTGCTCTATGTACGTGCATAAAATAAATTGCTATTCCATAAATCGGCACGAGTAAATCGACGAACACAAAACAATGTTTATTGATCAATTTATTAGCAAATTCTGCCTCCACAATTATTGGCAAATAACAAAAAAGTTTTCACAAGAATTATGCTTTTCTGGCTATCAATATTTCGACTGAGAAATTAAATAACAAAATTCCAAATTACATAACTTTCTTTAAAAAACAGACGCAACATTTTCCAGAAGTATCAATAATATAAAAAAATTATACAGAATTGTATTACACTAAAGTATGCCAAACTTACAATTCTGTTGCGAAAAAGGATATATCTGGATATCAGTAGATGAAATTATGGATGTAGAAGTTGTCGTAAGTTTCATTGTCAGTACATTGTATTCTGATCTTCTCTATAAAATTTATCTTCTTTATTGAGTAGTGCTCGGAAAAAAATATAATGAAATAATTGTAAAATTTATTCACGAATCTTTGGAACAATTATGACTTACTGAAACAAAATTATGAAAAAGTAGTTATTTGTATTGAATGATGCTGCTTATATATAGATGAAGAAAGCAGAAAAAGCATGATGTATTATGTTTCTTTAGAAAATCCACGTTATTTTATCTGCTGATACTAACATAGATTATGCCGGATAAGTAAATATACATATAACAAACATACTGATAATTTCAAAAACAAAATGACCATTTCGTGAAGCTCTATATAAAATGGAGTTATTTAAAATAATGCTATACTGATTGTTCCTTCGTTAATCATAACTTGTTGAGTACTTGGAGGTGTCCTTCTGAATGTCATATCCTTCCAAATAAGCTGAAATT